GTGGTCTTCAGTCCTGTTCTGGTGGTCTTCTGCTCCACCAGGGGGATCTTCGGTCCAGTCTGTTCTGCTGTGGTGGTCTTCAGCTCCACCTGTGCTGCCTGCTCCGCCGGTCCTGCCTCAGTGCCCGGGCTCTCCACTTCCAGGTGGCCCTCCATCCCTCCCCCTGTTCCGCCTCCACTCCACCGCCCTCCGGAATCATAAAGGGGGTTTTGAGCGTCTGGAAGCCGCTCCTTGGGGGAGGGGGCTCTGTCACGAATCCGGTCCATGAACTTCCTTCTGCTAGCCATCAGAGGTCACCCTTTCCGATTTCATTGACTCTCGCACTACACACTGTTGCACATCACCCCGGACTACATATCCCATCATTCATTGCACTGATTGCACTGCCATGTTTTTGCTGTTACATCGTATCTACACTGGATGCGACAAAGCATAGCAAATCATTTGAACGTTGTGTCAGTATGTTATAAATAGAACGAGTCAGCAGTTTACTGTCAGGGATTTGTCGTGTCGCGCCGCATCCAAGACAGCATCACTCATTATAACGAGTTGTATTGTATTTTATTGCATCACGCCGCGTCCGGTGTAGACACGATGTAAGTTAAAGCTGCAGTCCATAAGTTTTGCCTCTTTGTCACCCTCTCTGTTTGAAAACCTGGAATTGCAGTTACTTGTGGAATTATCTTCCTTCCATGGGTTGTACTCTGGCACAGCTCCAGCGCGGATTAATCTAATGTTTTGAGGAGTATGTGTGGCAGTCAGTCACCGCACCGGTGTGAATCCTATACTTACTAATCACAGATTCTAGCCTTCGTCTTGGAATATATGACCCAAATAAGAATTTTCACTGGATATTGTCGTCTGAACAAGTAAGTAACAAGTCTGCCACGTTTGTTCTGACCAACTGAGGAAAAAAGCATTACAATAAATCATGCTACCAATGGTGATTTAATCTAACGATTGATTAGCTCATATCACATCAAACCGTGCAAATTATTATTATTGTTATACTTAATTTTCAGATTATTAATGTTAACAACAACAGCATTGCATGACTATGAGTATAGTGTGTGTGTGTAGATTTCAATTTCTGTACAGTCTAATCTCTAATTGTCATACCATTCGAATTTCATACCAAGACAATATTTTTACTTTTAACCCAAAAAGCAAACTATGCTCCCTTCGAACTGATTGTCTTTAAAATACAAATCGTGTGTAATCCCAGGCTATCTGTAATCAGAAGCACATTTTAAACTGGAATATAATTTAATTTCATTCATATGTGTTTCATATAATACTTTCTGGATTACAATCCGCCATCAAAATTATTTTTTGACATTTAATTATTCTAGCTGCTGTGAGAAAAGGCTAACGATCTGCCACCTGCAGGATCCTCACATGCGATAGCCTACTAGCCGGAACAAATTCTTTGTTTACAGAAGTGACGTAATGACGCAGCAGCATGCTCGAATTTCCAGCGAAAACCTACCCGTTTCACTCAAATTAGAAAACATTATTATAAGCTAACCATTGTGATTCGGGCTAAAGTACAGCGATAGTTTTGAACACTGGCTGGTTATGTACTTGCTCAAATATTGATTTTTCTTTTCTACACACTTGCCATGTTTTTGCTGTTACATCGTATCTACACTGGATGCGACAAAGCATAGCAAATCATTTGAACGTTGTGTCAGTATGTTATAAATAGAACGAGTCAGCAGTTTACTGTCAGGGATTTGTCGTGTCGCGCCGCATCCAAGACAGCATCACTCATTATAACGAGTTGTATTGTATTTTATTGCATCACGCCGCGTCCGGTGTAGACACGATGTAAGTTAAAGCTGCAGTCCATAAGTTTTGCCTCTT